GTGACTAACACAGAAAACTGGTACCAGGGAAGTAGAGCTGTTGCTGTGACTAAACCTGGCTAAGTGGCCTTTGGAATTGGTTTGTGGGAGGAACTTGGAAAAGTATGGAGAAGTGGGCTAGAGAAGTCCTGGAATGCTGTAAGTAGAGCTTAATAGTCTATTCCAGTGCAAACTGAGACCACAATGCCAAGGTGGAGAGTAAAGACTGTTCCTGAGGTTTCAGATGGGAACAAGGACTCCATAGGGAACTGGACTGGATGCCATGAGTGTTACACCCTGGCAAAGAACTTGTCTACATTGGGGCATATCCTGAGATTTTGTGGGAGGATGAGTTTAAAGATGATGAACTAATTGATCTGGTGAAGGAAATTTCAAGGCAGTCCAACAATCAGGCTGTGTAATGATGAATACTAGCTGCTTTGGGCCAGGTTTACAGTGAGTATTGGGAGAAAAAAAAAAACAGAGCAAGAAGACTTGAAAAACTTGCAGTTTGGGCAGAAAAGTCCATGTAAAGCTGAAGCTAAGGGAGGCATAATTTCTGCAGAGATTAGTATCATTAAAAAGAAGACAAAGTAGAGTGGTGGAGGGGGTGAATTCAACTATAATATATTTGATACATTATAGAACTTTTGTAAATGTCACAATGTACCCCCACCCAGCACAACAATAAATAAGTACTTTGTATCAGAACAGTGGGAAAGATACCTTGGGGTACCTCAGGAATTGGCCAGACCCTACTCATTACAGGTTCAAGGGTGTATAAAGGTTTTAACTCATTTGAAAGCCACTGCTTTGAGAAGAGGGATCCTGGGCTCCCTGCTTGAACAGGATTACCTGGAGAAGCATTTTGCTTCATTCAGCCACCCAGGCAGTCACAGGCATCTGCAGCTATGGTCCAACAAGGCCTGGTTAGTGCTTGAGCCAGGGAAGACCTTGCCATCACCTATGCGATGCTGGTTTTGTAGGTATACAGCGTTCAAGAGCTACAAGGTCATGGAGGCTTCCACCCAGATTTCAAGGGAAAGCCTTGGAGGCCAGGCAAGGTTTGGCAGGGTTAGGAACCTTGCAGGGAGTCCCTTGGAGGATAATACATAAAGCTGTGAGAGTGAAGCCAAAGATACAATGGAGACCCTAGAATGTTAGAGATGACCAGTCACAAGGAATGTCTGCCAAGGAAGGTTGCAGGCAGTCTGCAGAGCCATTTCAAGAGAGGCTATGTGGGCTGTAACTGGCAAGGCCAAGTAAGTGGAGCTGCCCGGACGATCAGAAGCTCACATCACAATGCCCTGTGCCTCAGATGCTGGACATGGAGCTTTAAGACACAGTATTTTCCCTGCTGCATTTGTGCCTTGCTTTGGTCCTATCTTTTCATGTTCTCCTATTCCTCCCTTTTGGAATGAGAATGTTTACTTTATGCCACTGTATCTTGGAAGCATGTAACTTTCTTTTCTTTTTTTATTTTAGGGGACTCATAGCTAAGTGTTTTCCTTGAGTCTCAGGAGACTTTGGACTTGGACTTTTTAACAACGTGAAGACTTTGAGAACTCTTAGACATGGAATAAATGTATTTTGGATTATGAGACGGCCATGAGAATTTGGGGGTCAGGAGTGGAGTGCTACGGTTTGAATATGAAATGCCCCCCCTGCAGGCCTGTGTACTAAAGCCTAGGTGTCCAGCTGGAGGCGCTATTTTGAGAGGTTCTGGAAACTTTGGGAAGTGAGGTCTAGCTGGAAGAAGTAGGTAACTGTGCCTTTGAAGGGTATACCTGGTTACCAGTCTCTTTCTCTGTTTCCTGGTTGCCATGGTATGAGCTGCTCTGCTCTGCCACAGCCTATGAACTAAAATAAATCTTTCCTTCTTTTAAGTTGTTCTGTCAGGTATTTTGTCAGGGAGACAAAAAGTTTAATACAAAGACAGAGAAGTGTGCAGATATTTCATCTTCACAGGGGTTACCCTGTCTCCATTCTCCTGAAACTTTCTTTGGTGGACCTCACACTGCAGCTCTACAGTTGTCTCATCTACTTCTTTACAAAGAATATCCAATATAAACACATAGAAAGGTCAACAGTGTGTGGATTTGCTCCCTGACCTTTCTTCTTCCTATTTTTAGAGAATCCAGTCTTAGAACAGGGCAGAGCATTGCTTTAGGTTGGTATTCTTCCTTACTAGGCAAAACTCACTATCATCTTTTTGTTTTTGGTGGTGGTACTAGGGTTTGAACTCAAGAGCTTCATGCTTACTAGGCAGGTGCTCTACCACTTGAGCCACACCTCCAGCCTGACAAGGAAATGAACTTTTTGGGGGAGCAGTAATGAAATCAGAACTCAGGGCTGTGCACTTGGTAAGCAGGTGCTTTACCACTTGAGCCATTCTACCAGCCCTATTTGCCTCACCACCATCTTGCTTGTATGTTTTCCTCCCTGTTCACAGGACTGAAAGTCTTGTAAGCTGGGACAGTGTCCAGAGCAGTGTGGAAGCTCTTAAGCATTCTGGGATGTCCAGAGATGTCCTCAGGCTTGGGAGTTATGGTTATTTCAGCTGTCGCGAGGTATGCTCCTTAGAGCCTAGTACAGACCCTCTTGTCCTTATTGTCATTAACAAGTTCACAAAGGAAAACCTCTCTTGGAACAGAAGCAAGGCTTTGGAGATGATAAGGAATCTAGACATAGAACTGTTCTGTAATAGTTCTACTCACCACTAAATATTGAGCACCGAAGATGCCCACCTCCTTAGCCATACTAGCATTTAGCATGATGCATTCAGAAGATGCCCAGAAATAAATGAGAGTGTCAAGGCAAAGGAGCAGTCAGGCAAAATGTAGCACTGTACCTTCTACCGAACACAACCATTTCTATTGCCTGCACCAGTCACGGCAAGTCAAATTCTCTGCGGCAATACATATGCAGCATGATACAGTGTCATCCACAGGGACTCCCAAGTGTTAACAGTGATCAGGTTCCCAGGAGAATGGCTTCCTCTATTCTTCCAATACACTACCACTTTGGCATCTGCTCAACTCTGTCACTGCTGAAGTAAAGGCAGGAATGGGCAGCGAATGATTAGGGGAATAAGGAGCCATGGCTCAGGAGCGAAAGTGAGGCAGGGAGAACAGGCAAGGTGGAGACATGGAAACTAGCTGCAGTAAGCAAAAGTTAATTGATTTTAAAAGTTCAATTCTGTGTGGGACTCTAGGCAGCATGAAGGCTCTAGAACTAGATGGCATTCCGAAAAGAGTATACACGGTGGTGAAAGATGAGAACAGGGCCATGAATCAGATTCTGGAGGGCTGGATGGAATCTGCAGATGTATAAATAGTTTAAGAGTTGAGACAAATGTAACAAGTTTGAGGCCATGCCCTCCCACAAAAAAAAAGGAAGTGGTACACAGGTTAAGGTGGTTACTATGGGGTGGGAAGTGTCTTGAATATGAGAAAAGAGAGCAAACATTTTCAAAGTAAGCTGTATCTTTTCACTTGAGAGTCACCTACGTTTGTACAGTGCTTTATAATTCATACCCATAAACCATAACATTAAACAGGGTAAATATTATCACCTCTGGCTTACACACAAGGGAAATGAGCTCACAGAGGTCCTGGAAGTTTACTCCAAGTCACTTTCTAGCTGGAAACCTGGCTACAACCTGGATTTCTGGATCTGTGACCTGATGCATGCTCACTGTGCTTGTTCCAAAAACCTGTGGATTGATCTAAGCAATGTATAATATAAGCCTATTTGGAATTGTCACAATGAATCCCCTCTGTACAACGAATATAGAGTATATATATATATATATTTGATGCTCTTCTCACTTTTCATTCTTCTAAGAAGCTCCAATTTCTTTTTTTTTTAATTATTCATATGTGCATACAAGGCGTGGGTCATTTCTGCCCCCTGCTCCCACCGCCTCCCTTACTACCCACTCCGCCCTCTCCCTCTCACCCCACCCCCTCAATACCCAGCAGAAACTATTTTGCCCTTATTTCTAATTTTGTTGTAGAGAGAATATAAGCAATAATAGGAAGGAACAAGGGTTTTTGCTGGTTGAGGAGCTCCAATTTCTTAGAAATATATCTTGCTTTTGAAATGGCTTCACTTCATTTTGTTAGTTTTATAAGCATGGAATTTATTTGTGGAAAAGCAATTTTATTAAATTTAACAATTATTATGTAACTTGATTTTAATGTCTCCAGTATTTTAAAGTTTTCATGAAGTGACTTTAAATTGAAATAGCATGTACAACGTATTATGTTGAAAACATTTCCTTTCAGGGACTAGTAAATTATTCACTTCATTGCCCTCAGAGATAAATTATTCATTAGAATAATGAGTAAAATCATATGATGCTGTTGTGCAATTTGAGGTTCGACAGGACTTCATATTTTAATTTTTTAATTGGCACTTCTGTTGTACACAAGAAAATAATTTAGTTCTGTGTGAAATAAATATACTGGTTTATTAAAGGCCTATGTTCTTTGACATATATCAAGATGGGCTCAATGACGGAAATCTACAGTGGATAATATGTTATATGCTAGCCAAAGTGACATTTCTAGCTCAAAGGGCAATTTGGCCAATTTTTGAAGTTTTGTAGTCAGGTTGTCTGCAATACTAATTATTAAGGATATTCCGTATTGATTTTTCTAGGTAGCAGTCATTATCTAAGATGTATTTGTGCTGTATCTGTAGCTATCCTTTCATATCGCTCAATACTCTGTCAAATTCATACTTACAAACATGTTTAAATTCCCTTGTCATAACTCATATATTTTGTCACTAAACAAGTATCTCAGCACTGATTTCCTTTGTAAAATATGAAATCCCTAATTGAAATAAATTTTACCTGTTACCTAAGGATGATGCTTTGTTCACAGTAAAAATGGACCGAGAGAGACAATCTTCAAGATAGACAGAAAGACATGAACTAATCATTGCAAGTCACGAAAACATTTTCCATCTTGGCTCTGCCTGTTGTACTTTACCACATGACCATGACCACTCACCAAGTGGCAAAAATGCAAGACGGTTTCCAGCCATGGAGAGCTCGTTGAGGCTGGGCAGCTGGCAGAGATGGCGTGGCACACACCATAGTCGATTGCGGTCCACAGTGAGGTACTGCAGAGAAAGGCACAGGTGAAGCCTCTCGGGTAAAGTTAGCAAACGATTGGTAGAAATGTCTAGTGTCTGCAGCTCCTTCAAATCGCCAACCTCTACAACCAAAATCAAAATTAAGATAAATCGCATTCTGATTAATTTAAATGAATAAAATAAAATGAATTAATACTGTAACAGTCTAAATAAAATTGGTAGCTGGGGACTATTTCCACAGACACGAATGCTGATGCATACAGAAGTTAGGGCTAGTGTGCAAATAACGTAGCCTAGGCAGGCACGTAACTCAGTCTGCCAGAACTTCTTACGTGGGAAAGGGAGACACAATGATGAACCTGAACCAGAAGTCTGTTACTGATGAACCACAGCAGCTGCTTGGGTGGGAAAAGAATGATTACAGTCACTGCAAGGTACCTGGTTGGGATATTTGTGAAGTTTACATTCTATCTAAGTGGATAACAGATTTCTGGACAATCAGGATTTCTTTTGGAAACTTGTCACAGTAAAGTTTATTCTTCAATGAAGTTATCGTTGGGTAACATTTTTAGATATTGCCCAGTCACGTGGCTCATTTTTAAAGGCCTACTCAAAGAACATGCACCCTATGAAAATGTACTTTAATCTTCCCATTAAATCTTCTGATCTACTCCAACATTCCCTCATCACTGTTGTCTGTAGTTGTAATCTGTTCCAGTGTATCCATGGGGAATACTATTATGTCCTTGACATAAATCACTAAGTCTTGGCTGAAGACTGATTGGCTCTTCTCAGGGAAGATGGCCATTTTAGGGAAAGACATTTACTCTGTGCCAGGACACCACATTCCACTCAAGGTTCCATATAAGCACCAGTGGGACAAGGCTACCTCTTCCCCATCACGGACACTATGTTAAAAGACTGCTATAATGTCATACCTTGCTTTTTTCTAACCTGGACCCTATTCCTGCACCATTCACCCTAAGCTAAGGTTTTTATTTTCTACTGATGGACTGTAACCCCGGGGCACAGACTACTTTGTTTAGGACTTGGATGACTATTAGCACCATCTTCTCTACTAGATAAGCAAATCCTCTGCTGAAAAGGCAGTCATAAAATTGCACAAAATTATCACAAGAAGCCATTTCAGCATTCTGGAAGTTGACCAACAGTTTTACCAAATGGAAAAGCACTTCTAGTTAAAGAAAAGATTTAAAAAAAAAAAGCCCACTGCAATTTAAAGGACAGCTGAAATTCATGACATGCTTGCCTAGGGTATTACCTAGGATAGTTACCATCCTCCAACCCAGGCTGGCTAGTGGCTAATGTGTCAGGGTAGCTGCAAACAGGTCAGCAGCTTCACTGCCAGAGAATGAAGAGAGAATCCCACAACCACTGGCAGCGTCAATAATAAGTAGCAATCCTGAACATGAAAGGATAATGAGTTTACAAGACTGAGGTGTGGTCCTGGTTGGGACAGCTTAGCCAAAAATTCAACAAGGAGGCATGGGATGTGAAATAGTCTAAAGGCATTTAGTAGGCTTTCCACACATTCCAAGCTGACTATAGAGATAGTGAGGAGGCACAGGGGAGACCAGAGAAGGTTTGAGCTATTTATAGACACTCCAGGCCTATGGGGAGACTGCATAGGTGCACAGAGGACAAACCAGAAAATAATAGCTGGTGTGAAGTTGAAAACTTCCTGAACTTTAAATGTGCTTCTGAGGGGCTGGTGGAGTGGCTCAAGCGGTAGAGCGCATGCCTAGCAAGTGTGAATCCCTGAGTTCAAACCCCAGTACCACCCCCGCAAAATAAAATAAAATGAGTTCTTGAATCTATAAACAGATCCATCAGCTGATGACTGAAGCTCAAGGTGTTCGACCTCTGTGCTCTGCAGCCAAGAGACAAATCCTAAAAAGTGAAGCTTAAAAAGTAAAACAAAAGTAAGTATGACCATACACTATGAGGAAAATGGATTTCCTATTTTTAGTCAAGGAAAATTAAAGAATAAATGGTAATAAAATCCTCAGGTAGAAAAGAATCAAAATTCCAGAGTTACTACAATATGTTATTTTAAACATCCAGTTGAAAAAATAGAAGACATATATAAAATAGGAAAGTGTGATCCTTAATCAGGAAAAAGTAAGTGCAGAAATTGATGCTAAGTGAACCCAAATGTTGGCTTCTGTGCAGGATGACTTCAGAGCAGCTATATGTTTAAAGTACCGAAAGCAAATAGGTTCAAAGAATCAAAGGAAAACATGACATGATGACTTAAAGATAGAAAATTCCTATAAAAAGATAGAAACAAAAATATGTGATGAGAGTCCAATAAAAAGAGAAACCAAAAAATATTGAAAAAAGTGCAAAATTTTGATGAAAATGTCAATATAAAGATCCAAGGAGCTGTCAATAAAGACCCCAGTAAGATAAACAAAGAGATCTAAAGTTATACACATCTAAATCAAATCATGAAAGACAAATATAAGCAAAGAAATCTTGAAAGCAGAAAGAGAAAGTTGGCTCCTCATGTTCAAGAGAACAAGAAGATAATGAAGGCATTGAGAGAGATACAGAGGAACGAAAATGATACAAAATATGGAGACTACAAATTGAAAACTGGCTGATGCAAATACAACCACATCAATAATTACATTAAATATGAACAAATTAAATAACCAAATCAAATGGGAGAAAGTGTCAGGCTGCATTTTAAAAATGCTATCTATAAGAAATCCAAAGGCATGAGCAGTGAGAAAGCAAAAGCATGGGGGCAGGTACCATGCAAGTAGTAACAACAAGAAAGACAGAGTAGCTGTCTTTATGTTAGAAAAAATAGATATTAGACTATGAAATACTATGAGACAGAGAAAAATGTTTCATAATAATAATGATTGATTATGCAGAAAATACAAGTACATACACATCTAGCAAAACAGCCCCAAATTACATGAAGCAAAACTTCACATAAAGAAGAAAAGCAGACATTTCAACAATGATAGAGATTTCAATATAACACTCTAAGTAATTGACAGAACAACTACACAGAAAAACAAGAATATAGAAGACTTAAAACACACAAACACCTTGACTGACCTAGCAACATCTTAGAATATTACAGCAGAAGACACATTCTTTTCAAGTACACATGGTACATTCTCCAGGGTAGACTATATGCTAGACAATTAAACAAGACTCAGATTTAAAAGGTATGTTCTTTAACCAAATTGGAGTTAAAGTAGAAATCTGTAACAGAAAGAAATCTGGGAAATCATCAAATATTTGGAAATTAAACAACACACTTTAAAATAACTCACAAGTAAAAGAAACTGTAAAGAAAATTAGAAAATGTTTTTGATCAACACAACAGATGGGATAGAGCCAAGGAAGTAGTGAATGGGAACGTTAAAGTTTTAAATGCCCGCATTCAGAGAGAAAGTATACAAATTCATTTCTTAAGCGTCTATCTGGCAAAAGGACAGAGACCAAGAAGTAAAAACTAAACCCAAAGCAAGCAGAAGAAAGGAAACAATATCAACTACAGTAGAAAGCAGAGAAACAGAAATCAGAGAAACACAGAGAAAAGTTAATGAAAAGACAAAATTGACAAGCCTTAAGCTACATGGATAGAGGGAAAGAGGGAGGGAAGAAGGGACATTAATTGTCAAAACTTGGAGAAAAGATGGAGCATCACAATCAAGTTTATGGAAATAAAAAAGATTACAAGGGGTAGGGATGTAACTCAGTGGTAGTGTGCTTGCATATGTAAGCATATTGCATATAAGGATATGCTATGAGCAATTTAATTTATTTGTTCCAACCAATAAACAACCTAGATGAAATGAACATATTTCTAGAAACACAAAAATTGCCAAACCTCATTCAGTAAGTCTTTAAAAATGCAAATAGATTCATCACAAGTAAAAAGAACTGAATTAGTAATTTTAACTTTCTACCAAAAAAAAAAAAAGGGCCAGGTCCAGATGAATACTGTGTTAAATATTTAAATTCCATTAAAATTTTAAAGAAGAAATAATTTATTTTTCACAAACTCTTCTGAAAATAGGAAGAGCTGAGATTCCAAGTCGGCAGCTAGAGGGAGGAAGCAGAAACTGTGCCTCCTAAAGTGAAATCTTGGAGAGACGCTGGGGACACACCTTACAGGCAAGGCCACGGAGAAGAGGCAAAACTTTGACCCCTCCACACCTTCGGCCTGCACAGAGCATCTCCACTTCACCTTGAACGGAGAAATCAGGAGGGCCCCCAGGCCGCCAGACGGCTTGGGAAGATGCGGACCAGGTGAGCTAAGCGGTATGTGGTACTTCCACAGACAACCCTGGGCCAGAGCAGCATAGCCCCCTGGACAGACCGACCTCCACCCGGGGAAAAAAGAGAAACTGAATAATAAGCAATAAGAACAATAAAGACATTTTGCAAAGAGAGTGGGGTGACTGAGCACCAAAGAGGGTGGGAGGGGAATCCCTCCTGGAACTGTAAATAAACAAGCCGGGCCTGGCTAGAGAGGGCAGGAGCAGCTGCACGTGCCCAGCAACAAGGAGCAGGAAAGCCTATGAGAGCAGTGGAGGGAGGGAAAACTCCACAGGAGAGGGGGGAAGACCCACTTCCCAGTGAGTTGTAAACAAACATGCAGGCCTGAAAACGTGGGTGCAGTGTCACCTCCCCTAGTGTGCTTGGAAAGGGGAAAGCTTGTAGCAGCAGCTTGCACACAGGAGAACTCTGAGTAATCAAAGCCTGCAGGGCCAGGTGAGTGTTAAGCTCACCCCTGAGATCTGCATAAATAACGCCTCCAGCAACAGCAGGCTGACAGCAGCGGCAGGCAAGCCACAGCCGCAGATACCATTCTCAGAACTGTCTCCAGACTCTTTTTTTTTCTCTCTCTCTACCTTTGATGAGAAAACAACTGAACTACACCTGCATGCTGAAAAACTTACTGAAACTGTATTGCATTTGAACTTGTGACACTTTGTTGGTTTTTTTTTTTTAATTTTCCTTTGTGAGGTTTTGTTCTACTTTATTTTTCCCCTTTGATGAGACAACTACAGAACAACATCTGAGACATCTCCAGGATTGGACGCTGAGGGATGAACACCAAAATTATTAAGATTGAAACTTTATAGCATTGGAACTTGGAGATTTATTTCTTTTTAAAAATTTTTTTTCTTTTTCATTTTATTTTATTTATATATATTTTATCATTTACTTATTATTTACTTTTATTCTTATTTTTATCATTTTATTTTTTATTTTCAATCCTCTCTGCCGCTCTAATGCCTTTTCAGCTTATGGCTGATTAGTACACTGTCTCTCCCTGTTTTTATCTTTGAAACTTTGTTTGTTTCTTCTGTTTTTTTGTCTACTTCTTTATTTGTTTTTCCCTTTTCCTTTAGCTTCTTTGCTTTCCATCTCCTCTCAC